GTCCGTGTAAATAAACACACGTACACTCATATAGACTGAGATATATTCAAAAAAAATATACAACACACAACATTCAAGGACCTTTTGTGTATATTGTAATGCATGCTAAGCAGAATGACTTGTGTGGTCCGTCGTGACTGTAGATGAGACTGTGTGCGAGGTTTAGTTTAATGTGACTCGTTGTTTGATGTGAATCGAATTGTTGCTGTTGCTGTTGCATTGTGTTGCACCATTGTTACTCAACACCAACAGAAGATTGCGTCGCTTGGTTGCCGTCTCAAATGATAACAACTCTATTAAGATTATTATACGTTAAAACAAAAATCTCCTTTTTGTCCTCAGAATAATTTGTCTCAGTAGCTGTTCTTTCAGCTAACCACTCTACATTTGATTGCATGGATAATTTTTTGTTTTTAAAAAACTTTAATAAATGCTTTAAAGTTGCTGGCGTTGTTTCTGTTTGTGTTGGTTCATATCACACCGACACCTCTATTGCTGTCTTGTCCAACGCGAACATTGTTTCACTTTGTGTGCCCCAAGAATCAAACCTTGGTCTCATTTTTTGCTTTTCATCGAAGCTGCTTTCAAAATAATTGTTAATGCTTCATGCAAGGATGTACTTTCGTCTTTTTTAATGTTATGCAAACTTTTTTAAAGCAATATTTTTCTAAACAAGATTGCAACATTACTCTGGCATTTCTAACTTTTTGTAAATTGATGAAATTAAGAAAAACCGATTGGCAGCTGACATCATCAATTGTCAATTTCAGAAATGATGAACTCTCACTTGAAAATTAAGTTTACAACCTGATGAAAGTTTAATTTTAATTTTAAAAAATTACGCTTTTTTGGAATATGGAAATGTAGCATGTTCAAAGGATGCGCATGGCATTTTATTCTGATGCTTTTGAGTGCTATTAAAAGCGCAATAGTTTTCTTACAATAACAACACAAACAACAACAAAAGTAATAGTGGATATATAGAGCATTCATACATACAAACAACATAAAGGCATGACGAAAGGTTTTCTTTGATGCATATAATACAGAAATGAATAAAAATGAAATGAATATATATTACTTTAGTATTCGTTACTTTAAATTGCTCACAATGTACAAGTCTAATTAATTGTTTCAGACTAGGAGAAAGTTTAACAAGTGTGTTTTTAATGCTTCATGTAAGGATGTTGTTTTGGGTTCTTTAATGTTATGCGAACTTTTTCAAAGCAATATTGTCCTAAATAAGATTGCAGTATTACTTTGCCATTTCTAACTTTTTATAAATTGATAATATGAAAAAAACACGTTTGGCAGCATCAATTGTCAATATTAGAGATGATGAAATTGTCAATTAAAATTAAGCTGACAACCTGATGAAAATGAAATATTTTAAATCAATCAGAGGACGGATAAAAAACAACTCTGACTCCGGTTGTTTTAAAAATTTGTAAATCACGACTATGTGTCTAGCTAAGCAACAAACTGAACTGCTAGCCTACTAGCCATATATCCAACAAACCAACCAACCAAACAGCCAACCAAACAGCCAGCCAGCCAGCCAGCCAAATAAACAAACAATCAACCGATCAACTAGCCATGCCAGTCTAACAACCAGCCTACTAGCTAACAAACAAACCAACCATCTTGCTAACCAACGTTTAATCAACTACTTCAATCCATTTTTCTTGGTGTTTGTGTGTGTGTGTGAGTGAGTGTGTGTGTAAGTTAAGGTATGTTTTGATGTCTTAAATATTTGAATAACTCAGTAGAACAGAGACACAATCTGTGCGTAGGTGAGAAAGAAAGAGAGGGAGCAATAGAAAGAGAGAGAGAGAGAGAAAGAGAGAGAGAAAGAGAGAGAGAAAGAGAAGGACACACATAGAAAAGGGAAATAAGAAATAATAGGTTATTATAGAAAAACAATAATTTGTGTGTTAATACTTGAGTTTTCATAATATGAAAAATAATTTATTTTTACTGCAAAAGATTTATTTTTATTGAATTCTTCAGCTCGCGTGGTAATGTGGAAATGAAGGATTTTGATTATATCAACAATTTCATTACAATTCACTTTTATTCCTGCTCTGAATTTAAATTTATCATCAAAACGAGTGCATCGTTTTAGGACATAACAACTATCCAATGATCGTCATCACTGCATCTTTTCATCGTTATCATCATCATCGTCAGCATCATCATCATCATCGTCAGCATCATCATCAACAACAACAAAGTCATCATCAACAACAACATGATCACAGCCACCATCATTACCACCACCATCATCATCTACCTTGCTTGCTGGGGGTATCATCTCTTCTTACTTCAATAGCGCGTGAGAAATTTTATTACTCAAAAAGAATCTGGAAGTTTGCAAATGCGCACATGCGCACACACATACAACCTACACACACACACACACACACACACACACACACACACACACACACACACACACACACACACACACACACAACCTACACGAACAACACAAACACACACACGCACGCACACGCACAACACATACACACACAACCAACATAAAAATACACACTACCCACACAATCACACATGAACAATACACACATACACAACACATATAACAGACTGAAAAGCAACACACACACACACAAAATACACACGACACATACAACACGTACAACACAACGATACATACCCACATAAAATAAAATTACTAAATAAAAAACAAAGTAATATTTATAAAATGAACCAAAAAAAATAAAGGTAAATATACGGTGTTTGTGTTTGTGTGTGTTTATGTGTGTGTGTGTTTGATAGAAACACATGCGATCATTTGCACTTGCAGACACACCGCTATACCCGCACACACGCTTAACATAGCCACAATTTAATGAAATAAAACGTTTGAGCCTGTCATAAATCTGTCGGCATTCAACCAATCAGGAGGACGCGATTGCTTACTTTACACAAACTTGAACAATGGCCATTTATTTATATGGCACTTGGTTATATTTCATCTCCTATATGAATGCCCACACGATACACCAGGTTGCTCAGTACTGTACTCACGATTGTTTTGTTATTATTTTTTATGTAACTGTATGAAATGCGTCGTACCTTACTTTCTAAATACATGGCACAGGCTGCATGTATCTGGGTCGCTAGTGGCACCTTGGCATTTACGCACTGTTGTTTCAAACATTGTGCGCATTAAACTGAATCAGATAACGTGTCGTAGAGAAAAGATGTTTCACATAAATAGAAGAACGCAACGCAATGCAATGCAACGGCATGATGTGTGGCAATCAGGAGTTTTCTTTCATCAGAGTTGCTTGTTTGTTCTCAACGAGAGCCCCAAACTATATTTAATTGTTGGTAATGATCTGTTTTTCCATTCATTAGGTTGCACTGCCAGACACCTTTTGCTAATTTATAATTATTAATCGCTGGGTAATCATAAAATTTTATCGCAATACTGAACAGTTTGGGCAAAAAAGCCATTTTATTCTGTAAGTCTTCAAATTAATTCGACTTTTTTGTACCACACACTTTAACTTGGTTTTGTTTAGTTCTGGGTGGTTCTAAAGTTCGCATGATCAAAAAAGACTTGAAATTTGAACGAACCCGGTTGAGAAATGCTTACAAAAAATTAAAACAAATTATAAAATGCCAGGCTTTTTGATGTCATGACAAACAAACAAGTCAAAGAATCGTTACTTGAATTTGCGGCAATTGAATTAACAACGAGTTCTTAACAGATATGATTAAAAACATTTGGAGGCTCAGTCATGACCATCTAAGCCGTACAATTTTTTTAAAGCTATTTAATGAATTTTATAGGCAAGAATATCAAACACCGAAAATGGCAATCATGAAATCTTTCCACAATCAACTGCATGCAAACATCTTCAGCGAGGCCGCCTCTGTTGAATGACGTTCTCAAATCTCCAACAGCAACTTTGCCATCAATGAATTGGTTAAAAATACTTTAGTTGCTGCAGGACAAATATTATTGCTTCTATGTTTTAGATAAAGCTAGTTGTAAATCTTTTTATACAATGAGAGAGTAATAATCGC